GGAATGCACTCCCCGCTGCAGTCCGCTTATGCTCTTCACTGCACCTATTCCGTAATTCACTACTTTCATTTCTAGGGTACCCTGTAAGAAGGCCTTAGGCCTGTGGGGATTGCCCTATCAAAAATTTGATAATAATAATAATAATAATAATGTCTGACTTTAGTTCAACAGTCCTGCAAGGAAACACGTGCCTCGGCTACCACTACAGACGCGGGGTCCCTGGTGACCTGGTGACACAGTGTGCGGATGATGATCTTGAAACGCGCCGAAATGGAACTTCCAACATGTTGGAATTTTCAGCGCGTATCAGGCGCGTATCAGCGTACATGCCAGTCACTTTGACTGGCGGGGTCAAAAAATTAGTACTCGAAGGTGTCGCATGCTCTAAATACGACTCGAATCGCTGCTTTTTGTGAAAGGCTGAGCGCGCGTTTGGGGGCGCATGAACCGCAAGCGTACCGCGTTCACGCGCCAGTTGTGAACACAGCTTAGGGCGCGCTCACACTGCGACCAAAACCAGCGTCCATGCGGCCATGCGGCCAAGTTGCATGGCAACGGCATGAACGTCGCGGCCACGTTTCAAATCGTGACCGCGACCTCCGGAGGGGGGGGGTGCCACGACTTGGCGGCAACATGATCGTAGACGTGAAGCGTATTTGTGTATGTACAACCTGGCCTGCAGTATGTTCAATTTCTCAAATTCCGGTGTGTTGATTCAGGAAACTCGGCGGTTGTCGATGTCATCCTCGACATTTGCACATTTTTAAAATTTTGTAGTTGTGGTCCTGCACGCACGCACCGCCATATATGCAATCTTTGCGCCCTTTTTGGACGATGTCAATTTTGTTTTTGTAGTTGAATCGTTGTCAGTTGATCAGGTCAGTGACCAGTTTCTACAGTGTAGAAGTAGTAGTAGATTATTTTGATAGGGAAGGCCCTACATACGTTGCCGTCTTGTTACAGGGAGTGTACTCGTTCAATACGATGGTAGCTTGGTCTGGCTTTTCGATTTGAGAAATCATCTTTTTCTACTTTTCTGCGATGATGGAATGCCATACCCCAAGGTATTTCAGTTACATATCATCGGAAAATACAGTTCTCATCTCGGCAACAGACAAAAGAAACCACTACCGGAATTTGCACTGCACTGGCACTTGCTCTGACCACGAGGTCAGGAAAGCGAAAGCGCTTGGATGTCAGCGGCAGCCCCTCAAGAGTCCAAACCTACATGATTAGAGAGGTTCTGCAAAACGAAAATGTGTACGAACTTTCGCTCTACGTCACGAAGTGAGAAACTTCGCACGAACTTTCGCAACTTTGGACGCGAAACTTGCAGGGAACGCGAAATGAACTTTCGTAGGAAGTTTCGTGAGATTGGGTCATGTCGTACGTGCACTTGGCGCGTACGCGCGCGTGCAAACTACGAAAATGTGCAGAACACAAAGTTCGTGCGAAAATTCGTACACACTTTCGCAAGGCCTGTCGCGAAACTTCGTTCGAACTTTCGTTGTGCAGAACCTCTCTAATGAATTATTTTCGTCGACTTCAAGAATACGAGGCACGAGGCACTTCCTCCAACATGCAACACACGAAAAATACATTAAAAAAACCGGGCCACAACTTTATTAGGAAACGCACGAACTCTATTGGATACGAACTGCAAATCGTAAAGTTTGTGTGACAACTTCACGTCTACGCGTGTACGAGGCCTAGTGTGAGCACGACTGCCACGTTTCTGCGTTTTGCTGACGCATGGACGCGTACTCATGGTCGCAGTGTGAGCGCGCACCATGGTACAAAACGCTGCGTCTACGTCTACAGCTACGTCCACGTAAGGAGTTTTTGTTTTTTTGTTTTTTTTGCACTCAGAAAAATAATAAGGCACCCATTTTGTAAGTCCAGGGCCTACGTGTAGGGATCACCCACGCCTGGTAAAAAGAATAAACAGAGAAAGAAAAAAAAGAAATATAATAAGGCACCCATTTTGATAATCCAGGGGATGGCCCACGCCTGGTAAAAAGAATAAAATAGAAAAGAATCATGACAAAAACATGACTAGGGGCATGTTCGATTGTACGAATCCATCAGCCCCGGACCCGGATTCGCCAAATTTGTGCATGTTCGATTGTACGAATCCGGATCCCGAGAGCACGGATTCGGATCCAGTCAACCCACTAGACGGATAATGCTCGAAAAGGTGGCAGATTCTGCCATACAAACCATACAAACCTTATGGCGGGCAATTCCTCGAATTCTGCTCCCTTTCTTTACCCACATACCAAACATGCATGAAACTTACCAGAAAAAGTACCGAATTCTGCCAATTTTTCTGCCGGCATTATCCGCCAAGCCCTATACAACCCACCTCCCGGGACGGATTCGACGGATTCGACGGATTCATTCCGATAGTACGACTCGTATCTACTCAAAACTCGCAATATGCGTACATATATGCAGTGATCCTACTGAGTGACAGACTCTGTAAATACTGTATATGATGATTCGTTTTTATATTATGTGTTGATTCTTCACAAAATGTGTTATTTTGCCCGTACAAGAGGCTCAGTGAAAGTGCAAAAACAAAAAAAAACAAAACATTAGGTCAAGAGTTTACCACAACGCGTACAGATACTACGGGATGAGCTGTAGCAACGCGGTTGCTAAGGCCTTGAAACGGATTATCGGTTGTGCACATTATTATTATTGTTATTTCACCGTCCAATGGCAGAAGCCAATGCAAAGGAGGGGGGCGTTAGCCAGCCATGGCAAGAGGAGAAAAAAAAGAAGAAAGAATGAAGGAAAGAAGATGATAATCGGAAGAAAATAATGCATCAGCGGGGTGAAATGTATCGCTATGTTGACCATGGTGGAGAGCGGCGAGATAAGCTAGCAAAAGAGGCGAGTGAGCCTACAACGTGGCATGACATTTAACATGGTCTATGAACTGTCTAATATTGGATATTGTCTTCATTTCCATGGGCAGCTTGAGCCAATACGAGTATGCAGAGAAGATAGGAGATTTGGTAAACATAGTTGACAAAGCTCTGGGAAGTACTATGCCATTGCGAGTGTCCCGTGCGAAAGTAAACCAATTACCGTAATGTCGCGTGCATAAGCCGGATTTGTGCATAAGCCTGTCTCGTGTAGAAGCATGAAATCTGCAACAGCTTTTCGCGTACAAGCCTGTCGCATGCATAAGCCGGGCCAGTACACGAGACGCGCCACGTGTCGCGTGCGTAAGCCGGGCTACTACGCAAGACTGGTGAGCGCGCCTTTTACATGTTCATGTTTGCATGGTACCGTACACTTGCACACGCGGAAAACGTGGGAAGATGCGGAAATCAACACCAGCTGCGCTCGACGGCCATGCAGCACTCTTCAAGCTTCAAACTTACCTTTCCCATGGCATTTTCCGTCTTGTCCCTTGGCAAGTTGCTTGTTTGAAGTTGTTTCGGCGCTCCTCGAACTTTTCACTTGTGTTTGTTGCAGTCTACCCGTAGATAGAACTCATCTCAACCAGCAGTTTGCGCATACAAGCCTGGTCATTGAGTGGTGCTTGTCATATAAGCCTGTCTCGTGTATAAGCCTGTCTTGTGTACAAGCCTGACTCCATCACCGGCTTATAGGCATATAAGCCCCGGCTAATGCACGCGACATTACGGTATACTTGGTGAGATGTTCAGGGACAATGTTCAGTTTGATACGATGGACCAGAACGCATGACTGTCTCTGCGACAGGATAGAGATGGGGCTGGTGGAGGCCAAACTATATAGATCAGCAGAGGGGAAAAGAGTGGGTTTACGAAAAATAATTTTCAACACACGTTTATGATGTATTTCTAGTGTCTGTACAGCAGATTTACTAAGCAGGGAATGCCAAGCAGTGGCGCCGTACAGAAAGATAGGAAGGAGGTAGCATTTATAAAAGAGACGAATACATTCGGGAGACAAGTGGGAGCAGTGAGACATCAGGCAACCTACAGATTTGCTAACTTTGTTGCATACAAAATCTACGTGAGAATTCCAGGACAATTGCGAGTCAAATACAACACCCAAATGCCTGTGCGTATCTACAATAGTAATATTAATAGCCGAATCAAGTCCGGGAAGGGTAAATGTAGGAGGGTGGTCTATTTGAGGGAGAAAGACTATTTCTGTTTTCAAGATATTGGGTTTCAGACGCCATTCGATTACGGATACAATCGAATGTGCACAACCGATAATCTGTTTCAAGGCCTTAGCAACCGCGTTGCTACAGCTCATCCCGTAGTATCTGTACGCGTTGTGGTAAACTCTTGACCTAGTGTACGCATATTGCGAGTTTTGAGTAGATGCGAGTCGTACTATCGAAATGAATCTGTCGAATCCGTCGAATCCGTCTCTGGGAGGTGGGTTGACTGGATCCGAATCCGTGCTCTCGGATCCGGATTCGTACGATCGAACATGCACAAATTTGGCGAATCCGGGTCCGGGGCTGATGGATTCATACAATCGAACATGCCCCTAGACCTCTAGACAAAAATGTACATGTCTGACTTTAGTTCAACAGTTAGTTTTTGGTCGGTTGTCATGATGATCCGTATACGGGGTGAAAACGGGAGCAGAGGAAACGGGAGACGTGGACGTGGTATGGAGAGTATACGACTTTTTGTATGCTCTCTCGACTGTCTTCACAGCCATTTTTGCTCTCTCGACTCTTTTCCCAGCCATTTTTGCTCGTTTAAAAAAAGTTGTTGTGCGCCATCTATGGATCTGCCACATCGATCGATTTGGCTGCGCGATCTGTCGATCGACAGATCGCGCAACGATCGATCGATCGCGCAACTATCGATCGATCGCGCAAAAAAAGAAAAGCCAAATCGATCGATTGTGAGCCGATCGCGGAGTAGGTATTTCACTACTCAAAGAACTTTATAGGTAGGTATTTTACTACTTCCTGGTGAACGGTATCAATGCAATCAGTACTTGGCGACTGGCGGAACATCACTCAGTAAATAAAACAGTAGATGACGATTCCTTGCCTTGAAGAAGTAATGGCCTACGTTGTCGAACATTCAGACCCACTGGAGGCGTTCTACAGCCTGGAGCCCGCTGATAAGGATTTTGATGCGACTTGAGTAAGTACTAAAGTGATGCATAATATTTTTGGGGTCAACTAGCCATTGGGAAATTCACTCTTTTCTTTGATATTCACCTGGAAATAATTGACTCCATCAAATCTTACACAATATCCGAGATAGCAGAAAGATAGTCCTAACCCTCTTGTGCAATGATTTTGTCATAATTATGTCTATGTCCAGACCTACTGCTAACTAAAATGGCATGAAATGGAAATATTTTTGGTGATTATGTGTAAAAAGTCAATTAAAAGACATTTTCATCACAATATACACCAGCCTACCACTACAATTAATAGTGTCTCACCCATATGACTGCAGATGGATTGTATTCTCGGTATTTTCCCGTTTCCATCGGAAGTATTGTCTTTTCCGTGTATCTGTTCCACGCATTCATCTAAAATGGCGGACGCCCACGCTGCATACATGGTATGGGCGCACGTGAGCCACGCTGTGGGGACACTTGTTCGAATCCGCATACAAATGTATACAAATGCGTGGAAAAGAAGTTTCTCTAATCGCTGGAACTTGTGAGTTTCTTTCGATATAGACTACTGGTCTTCAAGGTATACAATAGTAGTGACCCAACGAAGTGGAATTTGCGGAATACAACGTTCGAGGCGGCTTAACAAGTCAAGAGTAAAGTGCGAATTTTCTATGTACGCAAATGAGAAAACCTACTTGTTTCCCCGCAGCGCTAGTCACGTGCGCCTTCAGTGAATACGTGCCATTTGCGCGATCTGCAGATCGCGCTGCGCAATCTGGGAAATTTCAGATTGCCCACACGGACCACAGATTGCGCCCCACAGGGATTCGCCGTGCTCTTCATGTTTTTCAACGCAATCCACAGATTGCACCCCGCCTGGATTCGCTGTGCTCTTCACTGTGTTTTTCAGCTAAATCCACAAAACTGTGCCCCGCACAGATTCGCCATACTCTTCATGTTTTTTCAGGGAAATCCACAGATTGCGCCCCACATGAATTCGCTCTGCTCTTCAGGTTTTCAATGAAGTCAACAAATTCCATGAACCACTAACGTGAATTTTGCCCCATGCGTACTTGGGTGTGTTCCCAAAAGTCTCACCGTAGCTCAGGGACGCGGATTTAATTTCCACCATGCCTAGCCGTGTGCCACAAATACCTTTGTGTCACCCCAGAATGCATGCGCAATCTGGAGTCTTCAGATTGCGCAAATTCTCAGGATGCGTGGGACGTATCTGTATAGTCAATGCCCATTTAAACTTGGGGAACTGTGTGTATTTTCTGTATATCGTGTCAGAATTCATGGTATATTCCAAGTCTCCATCCATATGTCTAGTAGTCAAAATAACAGAAGCATCACCTGTGTGGACATTGATTCAGTCTTGGTCTAATTTTTACTGGTTGGTTTCTTTCTTTTCATTCTCCTCACTTGAATCAATCTCTTGCTCACTGGAGCTGTCTCATTCTTCCCTTACAGAGGTGTTGGTGCAAGTGTGGCATTTGTACCCTGGCACGCATGGCTGACTTTCCTTTTTTCACTTGCATTGTGTGGTCTTGCAGCTGGAATTGCACCCACAGCCTTTTGTCAGGCCTGTGACAGGCTGACTGTGGTTGCAAGATGTTAGCCGAAGCCCCACACCATGGTTAGGGCATTGGTTCTTGGTCATCGGTTACCTTAAAGAGGTGGGCAGTTGATAGTAAATTTTGTGACTTGAGCGATAACCAGAGACCACACTGTCAGTGCATCTTAATTGCACTGTTCTAGATTGCACAGTATCAGCATTAGGCCACACGTTTTTTTCTATGTTTCTCGTCACCCGCGTGCATACGATTCAGGAGTCTGGAAGAAAAAAAACTGTGCTACACTGTGGGGACCATGTGCAGCCTGGCCTGGCCTGCGCGACACATGATGTTGTTGGAGTTGACTCTTCCATTTTCTCCTCCTCCTTTGGTGTCGGCAAATGAGGCGGAGGCTCTGTTGGTGGGAGCTCTACTGGGGTTTGATCCACAGCACGTTGGTACATCACGTGGGTTAATGACTTAATGTCACCACTCAGTGGTGGCTGATTTACATGTTGGATCGATTTGCCATGTAGCACTCTGCTGGCATCCTGGCAATGCATTCATTTCCACGGTGCCTCTTTGTCGATTTTGTCCATAGACCCCACAGGCACACTGAGCATTTGTAGCTGAAGTAGGTCCTGAATGCTATTATCTTTTACTGTGTGCACCGTTGTCATTCTGTGTCCAATGTAGGTACCACAGCCTGGCGTTATTCTCCGTTGACAATAGATCCCTGCAAAGTGTACTTGACTGGCTGCACCTGTCTAACACGACTGCAACCAGCAGCTGGAGTGGGGGAGTGTAAACTGAATAACCTACCGTTATGCCGCGTATTCCTGCTTGGAAGCGGAAGGATTTTTCCAACCGTGCTGCGACCCACAGTTAATTGGGAACTCGTGGCCTGGCATGAGTAATACTTACATGGATGTGGCAAATGGGATTGAGGCCTTTGGCCTCCGGTTGGTGGATCTGATCTATCCTCCCCCACCGGTTAGGAGCCGCATCTGATGCCTGATCATGAGGTGGCGTCCCACGGAAGCGGAAGCGTGGTTCTTGACCAGGGAGTTGTACGACTCCTTGTTCTTGACCTGCCCGGTACGCGAACCCGTCGAATTTTTTTTTCTTATGCCGCGTATACAAACCAGGTTTGGTGGCTAGGCTTCTAACATTAATTGCCTATGCAAAATCCACAATAATACATGTGTATGTCAACTAGTGTTGAAACGAGCGTATCTATAACAAACGAGCGATCAGTTCCACTAACGAGCGAGCTATCGAGCGAGCTAACGAGTTTCATTGATGTGGCAAATATGATTTTTTGAATAATTTTTTTCTATTAAAGTTCGATTTTTTCAGCTGGTTCAAGTTATCACCGCCAGCATTTGGGGTTGCTGCTGCTTCACTTCGGACTGCTGTTTGCTGTCGAGATGTCTTTTCAGCGCCGTCGTCGAGTAGCCTTTGTAAGAATAGACCGTTTTTGCAAAGATTGCAAGTAGCCCTGGTCTTCGCTGCATCGCGGGAGATAACTTCTAAACGACTGAGCGTAACTTTCACTTGAATGGAGAGGTGACCAAAGCATATCCTGCGACAGGTCAGCAGATGCGGAACAAGACATTACTAGAGTCCACCAAAGCTGCAACGACAACTGAAACAACTCAAGTGTCATGCAGGCATACAGTCACTGCAACTGCGAGTGATTTTCACTTTCCGCGGGACTGGACTCTCGATCGAACAGGGAGTCTCGTTTGTGCGGCCAGCTCGTTTGCACTAACGAACACCGTACACCGTACTCCGTACACATGGCAGCACATGTCGACCGGAGAGTCGTCCGGTCCGGTCGACATGTGCTGCCATGTGTACGGAGTACGGTGTACGGTGTTCGTTAGTGCAAACGAGCTGGCCGCACAAACGAGCCGAGTTTCTTGCGAGCGAGCTAACGAGTATCCGGTGAGATCGTTTCAACACTAATGTCAACTGCCTTTCTTGTAGTAAGTGAAGAACTGTTTTTAGTTTAAACTACTTTCAGACATCACAGGTACATGCACGTCGTGTTACAGTGTGTGAAGCTTTGTTCGGTGGCGATAGTGAGAGCAGGCTGGAGTTGTCATTATACATTATTGTCCACACTCGTGACCATAGATTGTCGTGGATAGTCAGGCAAACTGACTTTTACTCTCCTCTAGTGTATATATGCCTGTTGTATGACAAATATGTGGATAAATTTTAGCGATGCCAGGAATTTTCTAGTATAGTTTATACGTCTGCGTCGTCAAGAGTACATAACCCCCGAAGAGTGTAACTCCACAATGGGAGTATGGGTGCTGTACTGACATAGTATCTCAAGTTAACGTCTTTTTTATGATGCAATGCTCAGTGTACACGTATGATCAGACGTATCCTGGAACTGTGGTTCCACAAATCTCTCATTTTTCCTGTACAAATTCATGCAAGGAAACATGTGTGATACTTTGATACCCTGTAGAAACGTCGTAAATCACTCGTGCGAGGAGCAGTGCATCATGGAAATGATGTCAACTTGAAATTCTGTCATGACAGCAGTGTATGTGGGAGTTGCACACTCTTGGGGGGTTATTTACTCTTGACATCGTCCACACCAGTCTAAAAGAACACAGGACAAATGTAATGAACCAAACGTTTGTGCCAGGAATATTTGAAATATTCGAATATGTACATGTTCCTGCACGAGTATGAGAGCAGTACGGTCAACCACATGAATATAGCCATGGCAAGGTTGCATGACCGTGGCAGTGTAAACCCAGGTTTACCGTGAATTTGGAGTTGCCGTTGGTCAGGTTTCACGAAGACATGCCACTTCATTTAAAAAACCGATCCCAGCAGAAGTGTCTGCATGTTCGTGTTTGGGGGGGGGGGGGGGGCGATCTGGGGAGAAATGAACAATGTCGTCTTGAAAAATATATCGGTATTTACGGATGCCTCCATTGTGTAACTCTTTGTCTGCTATTCTGATAACGGTGACAAACACTTCTGATTGGGCATGGCGTGGTACTGCTTTGTCTGATTTGTCGCTTTCAGGTGCTGCATGGTGTTCAAAGCACATGTCCATTACCCGGAGCCAGTGCCCGTCAGTGGTGTAACTACCATTCGCATCAAACATCACAAGCTGCTTGGAGTTCCAGTTTTGACGAAACTTGCTGGTCTCTAGGATTCTTAATCCTAGTATTTGCTTCCTACACCAGCCACAGTGTTTTTCTTCCCTCGTTCCTTTTTTCATCCTTTTTCTTTGTCTTGTGTGTTAACCTTTCAGTGGACCCTGCAATGCATTTCAACAAAATACAGGCATTCTGGTCTGTTTGCATCCGCAGCAGGTACACTGGGAACCATGTGGAGATTGTGGGTCGATATTTAGTGCATCTGGGTGGCATCCCACTAAGGCTTTCGAGCACCCAGGGCATGATACGAACCCCGAGCACGGAAAGACAGCTCTTTTCTGCAAATGCTCCTCTGCAGCCCGTTTCCGCATTCACACACGTTATGGCTGTTTTTGCTCCGTTAGTGTTTGCTGTCGCAGACAGTATTGTCCGGTGCTTCTGCTAGCTCAAATGGCATGGAAAGACGGTTCTCATCACTCGTCAATGACAATGGCTGAAGCATTTTCTTCTTACAAACCCGGCTGCCGCGCTTCTTTGAGAATATTTTAAACTTCAATGTACTCCTGAATGATCGGATATGCGGAGCCGGCTAGCAGTGTCTGCTCTAGGATTTCACACGACTACTGCAGTTCATTCTTCAAACTCAATGTTTTAAGAGTTCCACATGTTTCCTGAAACCGTGTTTTCGACGAAATTCACCACGATATTCCCCGAAATCAATGATTGGGGCACTGAAAGCTGCTTTACCCCTGTGTACTGTACTCTGTAGCTCACTCCATATTGGCATATTCACCTACAGACAATTTCCCATCTACATAAGTAGTGAATATTGCTCAATATTCAGCGCTATAGGTGTTCATATCGTGAATCATTATTCATCATGGTTATACACGTGAACAAGGCGAGGCCGTACTGTATGGGAAACAGTGCGTCCTCGCCTTGTTCACACTGCCACCATGAAAACATGTTACCTATCAGTAGGCACCGGCGGATAATGCTAGCATAATAACTAGCATAATGACCCATGTGGGGAAGACCGGCACTGCCCTAGCATAAAGCCTCCAAATGTGACCTTGTGTAGCACAATCGCGATATCGATGTGTGAAACTAGCACTTCGTCCAGATGAAAGTGTATGCTGGTTTGCTGCGTTTACGGAGTTGTTCAAACTGCACTGACTTGTACTTGGAGCTAAATATAGCATTGTGCACACTTTTTGCAAATTTGATTTCCAAATTTGCAATGCTTGTCTTGAAGTTCAATGTCAATGATACGGCGAGTCTTTTCCAAGTAAGAACGGTAGTTTGTAATTATTTTGGCCTTCAACTTTAGCATGTTGAGTCGTTGTTGACAGTGGAATTAATTATAAAAGTGGTGAGTCCTTCGCTATAAGTGAGCAAACTAGTTGTACTGTCGTAGCTTGTCGTAATTTGTTGGCCCGATGGCAGCTACGGGAGACGGAGGCTCTGGTTTTGAAACAGAAGATGAGAGCAGTGAGAGTGATGGCTTTGTTAGCGAAGAGGGAAGCTCTGACTTGGAAAAGAACGCGGCAGCCGACAGTCTTCCAGCAGCACAACCAGCTGCTATTGCCCGCAAAAGGTCGTTTGCAAGAAGTGGAAAGTCGAGCGACTCGAGCCAGAATTCCGAAGCAAAGCGCGTGAGAGTGTCAGCTGGGAAATCCACCGCAGCTCCTCGACGCAGCACCCACGATCGGATAGCAGAATTCCCAGGCGAGTACCTCTCAGTTTCTGCGGGGAAACTCTACTGCACAGCTTGTAACTTGACGATCAGTATCAAGCACAGCATTGTGAAAGCGCATGTGAATAGCCAACGACATGTGCAAGGAAAGGAGAGTAAGAAGCGGGCGAAACTTCACCAACAGGCAATAACTATTTCGTGGAAAAAGTTTTCAAGTGAAAGCACGTCTGACCTGGCGGGAAGCGGTCTGTCACAAGCTGTGTCCGAAGATGTTGTTGTTCGGCGGGCCAACGTTGTTGAGGCTTTCCTAAAGGCTGAAATTCCGCTCAGTAAGGTGGATTACCTGCGCCCTCTCCTGGAGAGTGGTTATGGACGTTTAACATATAGCACTCACATGGCTCAGCTGATTCCATTCCTGCACTGCAAGGAGGAAGATGAATTAAAGAAGGAGATATCAGGTGCACCGTATGTGGCTGTCATATTTGATGGAACTTCCCGCCTGGGAGAGGCACTTGCAGTGGTTCTGCGGTATGTGGATGCGGATTTCAAGATTCATCAGAGACTTGTTCGCTTCCATGTACTGGCAAAGAGTCTGGCAGGCCTGGAATTGTCACGGGAGTTGATCACTGTCCTATCTACAAAACTTCAACTGTCTTCTGGGAAAGTGCTCGCTGTGGTCCTTGACGGTGCCGCTGTTAATGGAGTAGCAGTACGGAGTATGCAGGAACTTCTCTACCCACAAGTCATTGATGTCAAATGCGTGTCCCACAGTTTGGACAATGTCGGCACTGCTAGCATTATAACTAGCATAATCGCTCCAAATAACTAGCAGTGCTAGTAGCACAATTTCCTCATATAACTAGCATTATCCGCCGGTGCCTACCTATCAGGCACGGCTTGCATACCGGTATACAATAATTTACTTGTACTGCAACAGCACTTGCATGTGTGTTGCATTACATGTA